GTGCAGTGTGAGATACACACATCTGAAATGTTTAGCTCTGACTCTCAATCATCGCTAACTTTTCAGCAGAAATAGTTTTCTTTGACCTCACTTTCTTTCTACTTTCTGTTGAAGATGTGTTTCTCTGACGGTGTTGTTTCCTCCTGCAGGGCGCGCCCCCCCCCCCCTCAGACTCGCCCCTCCCTCTCCTCAGCAGGTGTGATGCTGTGGTCCCTGCTCACCTGAGGCCCCTGCAGACGTGGGTGGAAACCCTGGAGCGTCTAGACGCCGAGCCGCTGGGTCTCACTGAGCTCCACCCCGACGTCTTCGCCGTGCATCCCAGGTAGAACTCACTTTGAAGGCTTTGATATCCAACTTTTCCTCAGGAGGGAATGTTCAGTTCCTTCCCTTAGATCCCTGTCAAAATGTGTCATCATTAGTTTCCTGTTATTGCGTCAAGTAAAAAAAACTCTGTACGCTTTATTGTAATCAAACGGCGTGTTATCAATCCCTTCTAATACTTCTACTTGATGTTTTACAACCTGTTCTATTAATCTATATACAGTCCTTCATCATTACACATCAGGGTGTCCGCTAGGATTTTTTCTTGCCGGTCAAATGTCCGGAAAGAATTTATTTTACCGGACAAATTTGAAACTTAACGGTCATGTTTCAATATAATAATAATAAGAATTGTGTAGCAGAGTTTCCGTTAGCAGGTAATTACCGCACTATGACCGGATATGCTGATGTTTAAAACTCAGTTAATGGGGTTCATTTTTATATCGCTTCACCTTCAACCCTGTTACACATATACATTTAGTTATTACTGTGCATCTGTCCTCCACAAATATTCATTATTATACAGAAATTGAGTTTGTTTGTTTTTCTCCTCAGGCTCGATATTCTCCATCAGGTTGAAATATGGCAGAAAAACTTTAAAAGAATCGTAAGTCACAGATTCACTTGTTTTGAATGTTCATATTGAATGTCATTCAAACCAGAACAGACCTCCCACAGAGCCTCTCACTAACAGCTGTTCTGTTCCCTCAGAGCTACGCACACACTAAGGTGAGGGGGGAGGTCAGAGGGGGAGGAAAGAAGCCGTGGAAGCAGAAGGGAAGTGGAAGAGCTCGGCATGGAAGCATCCGGTCGCCATTATGGAGAGGAGGTGACCGTCTTGGATTTATTAATCTGCTCTAAAATGTAATGTTTTCAAATATTGTGCAAACATCTTCAGATAATGGCCAGATATGCCAAAGAAAACATGTTTAGGTGACATCACTTTGTAACACTCGTGCTTCTATTGGCTAGCGCTCCAACACATTGTACATGATAGGTTAAGGGGGCGGGACATCTCTAAGCGGTTGACCAATCACAACAGAGCCGGCCAGCTAACCAATCAGAGCAGACTGGGCTCTGGTTTCAGACAGAGGGTGAAAAGAGGTGCTGCAGCACAGGCAGTATGAGAAAAATAAAGAGCTTTTTGAACATTAAAGCATGGAGACATGTAGAGACACTACATACTGATATACACCTGAACATCAGCAGGAGAGGACTCTTTAAAGTAGAGACACTACATACTGATATACACCTGAACATCAGCAGGAGAGGACTCTTTAAAGTAGAGACACTACATACTGATATACACCTGAACATCAGCAGGAGAGGACTCTTTAAAGTAGAGACACTACATACTGATATACACCTGAACATCAGCAGGAGAGGACTCTTTAAAGTAGAGACACTACATACTGATATACACCTGAACATCAGCAGGAGAGGACTCTTTAAAGTAGAGGCACTACATACTGATATACACCTGAACATCAGCAGAAGAGGACTCTTTAAAGTAGAGACACTACAGACTGATATACACCTGAACATCAGCAGGAGAGGACTCTTTAAAGTAGAGACACTACATACTGATATACACCTGAACATCAGCAGGAGAGGACTCTTTAAAGTAGAGACACTACATACTGATATAGACCTGAACATCAGCAGGAGAGGACTCTTTAAAGTAGAGACACTACATACTGATATACACCTGAAAATGAACATAATAGGGCCCTTTAAAATAAATATACGGCTTTCATCTTATCCTATTAATGATCTCATGTTTTCAAACACAGTGCTGTCATGAAGAACTTTACCTCAGAGAAACAACAGTCTGATCCGTTGCCTTTCCTGTTTCGCATCATTGGAGATGAACACCGTTGTATCCACAGGTTATAACCCGGTGTGAGTCTGATGGTTTGTGTGTTTCTCTTCAGGCGGCGTGGCTAACGGACCCCGAGGCCCCACCAGTTATTACTACATGCTGCCCATGAAGCTCCGAGTGCAGGGACTCAAAGTGGCTCTGAGCTCCAAGATGGCTCAGGTGAGGAAAATGTGTTCAAGAACAAGAACAACAAAACAGTATTGTGACATTTATTATTGAATTATAATGGCATACTATACTGTGAAATGTTCTATACCATACTAACACATTCTTGTTTTGAAGATGTTTTCTGAATGATTGGTTTTTAACTTTTTGTCTAGACATCATTTTGAGTTCTGTGCATTTCCAATATAATCATTTTCCTAATTGCAGATGAACTGAAAGCACAGTAAATACATGCTAATGTTATTTTAAGCGTGTCTTTCAGATTTAATAAACACAAATAATGTGTGATGATAAAATGTCAAAAAATATAAATTGTGTTTTTCTAGTATGTCAATAAGAACATGTCATTTCCATAGATATGTTTTTAAAAACTGAATTACTATTTATACTAAGCAGTAAATCAACGTTTAATGTCTTGGCTAGCAATTATTTTATCCATCAACCTGCATATTCTTAAAAATGTAAGTATTGTTTGCAAGAGATGACAAAAAACAACAAGAAACACAACAGCTGATTGTTTTTTCTAATATTTTCAGCTTTTTTCTTTTGCAGTGTTGCCCCCATGTTGAACTTGTATATATATATATGTTTGCAGGACTACCTGTACGTGGTGGACTCTCTGGACCTCCCCTCCCCCGACCCTCAGTACCTGCTGGACCTCATCAAACACAAACACTGGGGGGAGTCCGTGTTGATCGTAGACGTGTGAGTATCAACAGCGACTCCATCTTGAAAACACATTTCTTCTTGTGGTTCGTGCATCGCTGACCCTCCTGTTCTCTTTCAGAGGTGAAGAGTTCTCTGAGAACACCCTCCAGGCGACAGCTACCCTGAAGACAGTGAACATTATTCCTGCTATCGGTAAGTTATCCGCAGCATTATTAAAAAAGGCGATACAACTCACAAGCTTTCTTGCACGGAGCTGAAGTCTGAGAATAGTTACTGGACGTTTGATCTGAAGACATATCAACCAATAGATGCCAGAAAGCATATGGATGTCTGTGATGCCCACTGACTGTTGGCTTTGAAAACAAGACTTCAACAAGGAAACATGCGCCCATTTTTTTGTGACGTAACGACCAAATGGACCAATCCGTGGAGCTCCTCACACACACACACACACACACTCAGCCTTATCTTTTCTCAGCGGCACACACACTCACTCAGCCTTATCTTCTCAGGCTGTGAGTGTGTGGCGAACTGTGTGGCGAACAGCCTGGCTGTGAGTGAGTGAGTGTGTGTGTGTGCTCAGGCTGAGTTTCTCGCTGTCTCGTAGACCCCACGCAGCAACCAGGAAACGACACCAGTAACCCAGCTCACACTGTCCGCTCCTCGAGCAGCGAGCCCCGCAACGTCCCGCCAACACGGCACCCAGACCCCACGCAGCATTCTCATCTGTTTGTCATTACTGGTGTCATTTTCTGGTTGCTAACAAACGCCATTGTAACACATAATCACTGATGTTCCGCTGTAACGGTGGTGGACTCATCAGAACAGAGTGGGCGAGCTGACCAATCAGAGCACAGTGGGCTCACAGGGAGGGGGAGGGGGGGGGCAGGAGCTCCAACAAGGCATGTAGGACAGAGTGAATACACATACTATACAGAGATGCTGTATGAGAAACCAATGTGAGTTTGGAACATTGAACAATGTAAATCTATTCTAGTATACCTCAACAATGGAATTATGATCAGTAGAAATGGCCATGACAAGGGACCTTTACAAATGTGTGTTAATTTGGCATGAAGTAATTTACTTACACTTTTGTAGAAGGAACAAGGTATGCAAGTACAGATGAAGATGTTCTTAAAATACTTAAGATTAAAGGTCCTGCATTATCAGCTAAATGTACTTCAATATTTTAAAGAAACTAACCAACACATGTATGAGCATTTACATTTTTTTTTAAAAAGGTCTAGCCAATTTAAGTTACCTTGTGAAATACTGTTTAGATTAGTAGTGCATGATTAGTGTTTTTATATGTTCAAAGTATCTACTAGTAGTCGAATACAAATGATGCTTGTGAGTGTTGGCAGCTCATCCCTTAAAGCAGAAGCCTCAGAGTGATTATAATAAGGAGAAATAGGAAGGGTATATTTCAAGCTTGTTATGGAAATAAGTTATTGGGCTTTTTTCTTATCAACTAAGATTTGTTAGAAAATGTTTCCAACTTTAACTGACTGTATTTGAGAAGTGGGCTTATTAACGCATGAACACTGTGCGATATTTAAGAAGTACAAGACAAGTTTCATTTCCATATTCCATTATACTTTTAGAATTTGCTGAGGGCCGATTCAAAATGGTCCGTGGGCCGCATTTTGGACACCCCTGCTGTAAACAAATCAACTAGCAGGTGCTTTGTGTTCCTCAGGTCTGAACGTGCACAGCATGCTGAAACACGAAGCCCTCGTCCTGACTCTGAACGCCGTCAGGTTCCTGGAGGAGAAGCTGCTCTGGCACGACGTGCGCTTCTCGGCCCTGTACCCGTTCTCCCTGCCGTACTCTGACCTCCCATGAGACCCCACATCAACAGAAACTATTCATGTTTTCTTCATGTGTTTATTATGTCACACAAAAACAATAAATAATGCCAATTGTAATAAAAAAAGGTTGTATTAAAAGTATTTAAAAATCATCTGTAGCTGAATCTGTGAGGAAGAAGCCCGTTGGCTAAATCGTTTCTGATCTCCCATCGCAGAGCCGAGCGCTTCTTCTCCGTCGGCACCACGTAGGAGTTCGGAACAAAAACCCTCCGAGGTTTAGGCTGCAACACAACAACACTAAGTTTAGTTTTACATGAACTTGGATCCATTCTGAAATGTTCCAGTCCAGGGAAGACAATTTAGCTAAACTGATATTTATATCTAGTGTATTTGATTTGAGGTTCGATACAGCTGATCACACAATAGGTTTCTGGGCAAATATGATCACATTATATATAACACGTATTGCTGTAGTTACATACAGTAGGCTACGTTTGAAATGTTATCATTGCCAAACAGCAACATTCAACAACACATTTCCTACTTCACATGTGTCAAACTCAAGGCCCGGGGGCCAAATCAGGCCCTTGGTGGATTTAATTTCGGCCAGCAGGATAATTTCTAATTACTATTAGATCTGGCCCGCCGGTATATTGCACGCACACCTTCACTCCATCCTGAGGGTCTCCTCAGCTCAGAGCCTGACCCCAAACATTGATGAACTAGCACCCAAGATGAGATGCCAAGTATCTGGCTTGAGCTAGCATCACAGAGCAGCACACTGAGTTTACATGGATGTTTCCTTCTACACTTTCTTTCTCACGACAACAGGGCATGTTTGTTTTTTTCTTTGAGGGAAATAGTTTTGTTGAAGCTGTTGTTGGCCTGTGGAAAAATGTAATCATAAGAAATGACTCTGGAAAAGCTGCAGATAGAGCCATAAGAAATTAATGCAATTGATTATTTAATGTTTAATGTGGTTTTTAAAGGCAATAATTTAAGCTTTGTTAGTTCCAGGTTTAATATGTGCAATGAGTTCATTTCAATAAGTTCTGCAATAAACATTGAACCAGTCCGGCCCTCGACTAGCACCCATTTTTTACTTTTGGCCCACTGTGTATTTGAGTTTGACCCCCCCCCTGTCCTACATCATATAGCAGTCAAAGACTACAGGCCAGCCTTTGACAACTCATTTTGGCTCAACTTTGTTTTCCTAGAGCAGCTTTATAGAGAATGTTTGAGGAAATACTCACCGCTGGAGGTTGGTATGCAAGTTGCTCCTGAAAGCAAAACATGGGAAAGCTTCGTGAATAAACAAGTGATTCAGTATCTGGGTATTTCAATCTACAGCAGTGCATCATATTCTACATCATATGTGTGTAGCTTTGTCCTGTGAGAACCTCTTATCTCTACAAAGTCAACAATGCGATCTCCATCTAGAGAGGGTTTTTCAAAGTGCATTTAGTTCAACTGGGAACCCGTTGTCCTTCAGTAAATTAACCTACACTGGAGGGATATCATTTTTGAAACCTGAAAAGTCATTTAAGCTGTCGGATAAATGTAGTGGAGTATAAAGTACAATATGTATACAATATATGTAGTGGAGTAGAACAAGGATTAAGTTACATACGATGGAAATAATCAAGTACAAGTGGAATTAGTACGATAAAGAGTTGATTATTAATAAACTTTACTGTGGCTCCTTGTGTAACAATTACTAGACAGCCAACAGTTCTAACAAATAAAACATGTAAAAACTTGACCAAGAAAAGCAGAAAGGAAACATTTTAGTTTGGAAAAGTATGCATTTGTTAAAGGACACTGAAAGTAAATATTTGGTAACTTTCTGAGATACTTTTCATACCTTTATCTCCATGCGGATAGCTCTCCTGTCGCTCTCTCCTGGAAGCTTGAACATTTCCCAGAGCTGCTTATACTGGAAGTACCTGCAGAGGAGAGAGTCAGTGAGTCCACTATTGGCGCGTTTCCACTACACGGCCTCGCTCGGTATGGCTAGGCCTCGTTAGGACTGGCTCACTTTATGGCGCATTTCCATTACAGTTTAGGAACTGGGGTAGTATCTATAGTAACACAGTGTAGGCGGAGCCGTGACGTCATCTTCAATGAGAACCCCAGAAAAACAACACAGCCGTTAGCTGTTAGCACTCAGAGCTCACAGCTCCTCATATATGTTCAGAAACTAGACAAAAGTTAAACAAGTACAAACCACAGACTGCCTGTGTCATGGTGAATACAGTCGCTGCTTTATTTATGTCTGTATAGGCCGTTGTTGTGAGTGTGGACGGTCGGAGCATATACTGCGTTAGCTTAGCCAATCTCCATTTAGAAAACACGTATTTTAAAAGGTTTTTCGCCTGCCGTCTGTCTGCAGACTTGACAAAGCATTAATTCATGGTTTTTACTAACCGGTATCAGTATGTTGTTACTTCGGCATCATTTTGAAACGTGTATTACAATTAAATCACGGTCAAATATGTCCATCTTGTTGTAGTTGTAGCCCCCTTGCCAGCGATTCTCTCTCTAGTTTAGCATACTCAGCCCGACTCAGCCTCGTTGTCTCTGGCCCTAGACCCACGATTTTATGAGGCCAGAAAAACTGTGAATTAGGACCCGCCGGCCGGTACTAGGCCAAGTGGAAACGCAACCAAAGACGGGCCGCTGACGTCACAGCCCTCTTAAACCGTGCTCCGCGCTGTAGTGGAAACGCACCATATGAGACCAACATGAGTCTAACAGCCATAGAACATGTCTTAGTATCTCGTAGATGTGTTAAGTATCTTGTGTAATCCCTTTAGTATCTTGTGTAATCCCTTTAGTATCTTGTGTAATCCGTAAACAAAAGTAAATTGAGAATATTCTGACCGATATTGCAATTTCCAAACGGATACATGTGTATTTTATCATGTGTATAACTCACTTGGCTACCGGGTCCGTCTTCTTTATAGTTTGCTGATTCATCACGGGTCTGATGACTGAAACATCCCAACATATGATCAATTATAAAACAGTCATTAAAACATAAATATGAATTGGCACATTGTGTTTCTGTCGGCTTACAGGATTTGGGTTTGGGTCTGAGGTCACCGTCACTTTTAGCCCGAGTCTGTGCAAAATGAAACCACAATAAAGTCACATTTAGGGACAAATTAAGACGTTTTTTTTTAAAGAAACACAAACAGGCCTTGTTTGCCGTGTCATTCTGGGAGACTACATTACCCACCATGCCTCTGATGTAGGATTCGAAGGCACTCAGAGAGCCTTCCTCTATGTCTGAGCTCTGAGTTTCGCTCCGACCGCTGACGTCTTCGTTCTCCGTCTCAAAGTCTCTCTGAGACGACGGTGATAAACGCAGATCGGCCAGACGCTCATCCAGAAAGCTCGCTGCGTCTGACAAACAAACAAACAGAACATTTTAATATCATCAGCAGGATGTCCTTTAACCATTACATCTCCAGGGGGACGAAACAAATGTGTTCTTGAGTCGGCCTGGAATATTGAGACAGAAACTGTACCTTCGATGTTAGCTAAATGACTTTTCTATGACTTATCCTAAAGGGAAATGAGCTCATTAATACTAACTCGTCTTGATTTTAGTCAGGAAGTTTTGGTCAAACCTTTTGACCCTGTGCTGGTTACTCGCCGGTTAACTTTCTCCTAACATTTTCTGAATCAAACAGACTTGAATCATTAGTTTGAAGAAAGATAATATCATTTGACGGACACATCTTTGTAGACATTGTTATTTTAAGTTAAAAAGGGATGTGAAAATGTTAGTCGATTCTTATCCACTGAAGTTTAGGTGTATTTGTAATCCCAAAGTTTTCTATTTTCATACTTGATATAAAAAGTCACTGTATAGTATTTGTAAAGAAATGATTGGCTATTCAATAAATAAATACAATTAAAGTACGTCATAAAAATGTCTTAGTGTAGTACGTACAAAAATGTAGCAAATCAAAACGTACATTTGATTTGCAGCAAAAATATTATGTTTTCTTAATTATGGTAAATACGCTGTGTCTTCACTGTAGCAAAAATATAATTAAAAATTGTATTTTGACAATCATCCACTCGCCATTAAATAAATATTGAGCCTCTCACGATTTGAAAATCACAGCAGGAGTGATTGTTGTTCAGACATCAATTTTAACGACGTGATTTTCACAATGTTTCAGATAAACAGCCAGATTGCATTGATGTGTATGAACAGGTTTCTCTTTACCCCTCGTGTGTCTGAGGTTTCCCTCCCACTCCGCACACATCTCGTCATACGTCATCCGGCTGAAATCCACTTTAGAGTCGATAAACTTGATGTCTTTGTTGCTAGAAGACTCTTCCAGATCATCCGACTCTTCCGTAACACCCTGCTCTTCTTCCTCTTCTAGCCTTTCACTTTGTTTCTCTGCATCATCATCATCATCACTTCCATTTTTCATGTTATTCCCATCCAATCTGTCTCCATCTCCAGTGTTGTAACGTTGTTCCTCTGATTTTGTCACGTCATTGTCGATCGCCGCATGTAGATAATCTTCATATTTCTCCTCCTCTGCCTGGGCTTTATCTCCGTCTAGTTTCACCTCCACCTCTTTTTGCAAATCACCATTATTCCCAACGTTAGCTTCTGTCTCGGTGTCCGCTAACACACTCGGTGGATGAGTCTCGATGTCTTCTTCGTTGGTGGGTTCGATGTCAAACCCTCCGTCCTCTTCCTCGCCTCTCACCTCGGACAGATCTCCCCGACTGTCCTGATCGAACTCTGTGATTGTTTGGTCGTCTCTGAACTCTCCTCCCTCCTGATCCTCCGGTCTGTAGGTGCCGTAATCAGAGGTCATCAGACTTGGAGCTGGACTACCAGAGGAACAACTTTCTTCATCGTCATCCTCGTCACTTCCACCATAAAAACTCTCCCGATGGACATTGCCTTGATTGTTCAGTTGTGGCTTTTTCTCCTCTGAAGCCACGTGAAGAGAGTCCTTCGCATCGGCAATCTCTACCTTATTATCCTCCGACGTGTCATGGTGAGAGTCTTCTGTATCGTCAACAGGTCTGGAGTCCTTCTTGCCGATCCTTTGGTTTATCTGGTCCTCTTCCTCCTCTGAAGTCTCATGGTAAGAGTCCTCGACATCGCTAAAGGTGTCAGAGTCTTCCTCGCTCATCTCTTCCTCGTCTGAAGTCTCGTGGAAAGAGTCCTCTGCATCCACAACCGCTTTGGACACTTTCTTGCAAATCAGTCGCTTACTCTTCCCTTCTTTCTCCTGGTGAGACTCAACTGCATCGCCACAGGTTTCAGAGTCTTCCTCACTCAGGTCTAACTTTTCTCCCTTCTCAAAAGAATCCTGGAAAGATTCCTCTGCGTCGCCAACACTTTGGGACTCTTCCCTTACGATCACTCGCTTAAATGTATCCTCTCCCTCCTGGTGAGAGTCCTCTGCAGAGGCGACGACTTCAGAGTCTTCATCTTCCCACTCGGAGGATTCCTGGTAAGAGTCCTCTGCATGCCTGACCGATTTAGACTCTTCCTTGTCAATCACTCGCTCCATCTTTACCTCCTCTGAGGATTCTTGGTAAGAGTCCTCAGCGTCGCCAACACTTCCGTAGTCTTCCTCGCTCATCTCCTCTGAATCATCTGCATCGCCAACAAGTATGGACTCTTTCTCGACACCTCCTTTCTTAATCCCGACACAATCAGAGTCTTCCTCACGCTTTTCCACTTCCTCATGTTTCTCTGAGGAATCCTGGGAAGAGTCCTCTGCATGCCTGACAGATTTGGACACTTCCTTTCCGCTTGTCACTCTGTTAATCGTGTCCTCTTCCTCCTGGTACGTTTCCTCTTCATCACAAACAGGTTGGAAGTCTTCCTCGTTCTTCACCCTCTCAATCTCTTCCTCCTCAGAAGCCTCCTGGTGAGAGTGTTTTCCAGCAGGTTGGAAGTCTTCCTCATTCTTCACTCTCTCAATCTCTTCCTCCTGGTGGGAGTGTTTTGCAGCAGGTTGGAAGTCTTCCTCGCCGATCACTCGTTCCACTTTCTCCTCTTCGTCTTCCTCTCGCTCTCCATCGGACCAAAACGAGGAGTTGAGAGAGTTCTTGTCGTCGCTGCTCTCGTCTTCCCACCGAGTGCCGTACACTTTGTACATGTTTCCCTCCCGGTGAGGAGAGTTGGTGTGTGGAGGCTTAGCAGAGGAGCTAAGAGGATTACGCTTCTTCTCCCTCAACAGCTCCAACTGCTGGTGGCTGAAGGGATTACACCCTGCGTCTTTTGGGTTTATTCCTTTTATTCCAGTCCATTTGATTTAAGATGACCCAGGGATTTAGTATTTACTCATTTACTACCACGACACCTTAAATAGTTTGTACTTTAACTACTTTCTGTTGTTGTTTGTTGACGTACTTCTCATCTGCTTTTATAAATGTATTTATCATGGGTTTGTCCTTTTTTGCATTTAATACACACGTTTACACCTTGTTCTTAATATGTTAGCCTACTTATTTTACATTTGACTTTTATCTGCCGCTTCCCTCAGTTGTAAATGTATACGTTGTATTTCACTAGTTAGGAAGGAATTACAAATATTTCTGAGTTTTATTTGTTTTCATGTTACCATTAAATAATTCCTTCTTTTGGAAAAATAAAGATTTGATTTGTGAAATATCTACTTTACTACATGTATAAATAACCTTTAGATTTCCATCAAAATAGATATTAAATAACATTTTGATTGAAGTCTGTTTTACCTGAGTCTTCACTGTAGATCGATTCATCGCAGACGAGCGATTGTCCTTTATGTTTCCTAGAGATGGGAAAAAATACATTAAACGTATGATTAGAATTCATTAAATATGTCACTAAAATGTCATTATATATTCAAATATACAATTGAAAAGTCATGTTATACAATTAATAAAACAAATGTTTAAAAAAGTAAATACATGTCATAGTACAGCATGTCATTAAAAAGTATTCAAATAAGGCAAAAAGTCGCAGTTTTGCCATGTGCTATTTATATTTGAACATGGTCAGGTGTTGCTTAGACTTTTATGACATTTGTTGATTCTTCTTTCCAGTCCTTACAAAAATTATATATTTCATTGATCTCTATTTTTTTTATAGATGTAATGACAAACATAATCAATTTGGAAATAACTAAATAATGTCTGAAACACATATTAACCCAAATTACCTGAGGACTTTTCTCTTGATGAAGTGTCCCCTGTGGGAGTCGGGGGTGGAGGAGAGGCTGTCAGTGAGGGGGGGGTGGAGGTTGTCAGAGAGGAGGGGGTGGAGGGTCTCGTCAGGATCCTCCTCCTCCTGCAGCCGACCCGGAGCTCCTGCGGGCCGCCGGGGGTTCAGAGACACCGAGTGCTGAGCGTAAGAATCACTGCAGCCCTGTCGGAGGTCTCTGTTCTCACAGGTGGTCAGAACCTGGGGGAAATATACACAGAAATGTATTTATCACATGTGATTACCTCTACTACTAGACAGACAGACAGACAGACAGACAGACAGATAGATATATAGACAGACAGAAAGATAGATATATAGATAGACAGACAGACAGACACATAGATAGACAGACAGACACATAGATAGACAGACAGACAGACACATAGATAGACAGACAAACATACAGACAGACACATAGATAGACAGACAAACATACAGACAGACACATAGATAGATGGACAGACAGACATACAGACAGACAGACACATAGATAGACAGACACATAGATAGATGGACAGACAGACACATAGATAGACAGACACATAGATAGATGGACAGACAGACACATAGATAGATGGACAGACACATCGATAGACAGACACATAGATAGATGGACAGACAGACACATAGATAGATGGACAGACAGACACATAGATAGACAGACACATAGATAGATGGACAGACAGACATACAGACACATAGATAGACAGACACATAGATAGATGGACAGACAGACATACAGACACATAGATAGACAGACAGACAGACAGACACATAGATAGACAGACAGACAGACTGATAGACAGACATATATAGATATATATAGATAGATAGACAGACAGACAGACACACATCTAAATGTTACTCTTGTCTCCATTTTTATTTTGTTAAAAAATAAAACAAACCCTCCCATGATATATACTATCATAGAATTCATAGTACTCACATCACGTTAGGATATACTGTATTCTTATTTTAAAAATCACACAGATGGTGAGAAACAGACAGGGTTGCTGTTTCTCACCGTCCCGAAGTATACAAATATACAGGATACGTAGATATTTGTACATACAAACAAACCTGTACACCCACTTATATATATGCACATACATATTACCCACATTTACACACTATGGGAATATTACAGAATATAAAAGTGTTCTTGAATGTTATAAGAGTATTGTAAACACTCACCTGTCTGTCATGTTCTGCTTGTCCAGGATGTAAGAAGAATCCTTCCCTGGAGTCTTTAAAGTGGCAATTACTGACTGTGAAGACAATCAATTCACCAATTAACATTCATTTTTTGTTTGTGGCAAACCTTAAGATTTTATACTCGATTGCTGCCCTTTTTGTTTGTTTAGAGAGCAGGTTTGTAAAAGTACAGATGTTGTGATTATAATCCCACAGTGAGATAATAATAATTCATTTATTTTATATAGGCGCCTTTCAAGGCTCTCAAGGTCGCCGTACAAACACATCAAAAACAAGATACACAATACATAACACCAGCATAAGAGACATAAACAATGCAGTATATAAATCAATCAAATAAATAAAACAGAGGATGTGTGATGGATAATGATCAGGGTGGATATGCGAGTGTGAAGAGATGTGTTTTGAGACGTGATTTGAAAATGGGGAGAGAGTCAGTGTTGCGGATGTCAGGTGGGAGGGAGTTCCAGAGGCGGGGTGCAGAGCGGCTGAAGGCTCTAGACCCCATGGTGGTTAAACGGAAGGGGGGTGCAGTGAGGTGGAGGGAAGCAGAAGACCTTTAAGAGATAAGAGCTCGGACCTTTCTCTTTGGTGAAGGCAGGAGGACTCGGCTGTGAAGTGGAGGGGTTCATCTGAGGGGAGGGGGCCAGAGTCTTCCATTCTCCATGTCGGACTAGTTCATCAAGATCTGACATGACACAAAGAAGAATGTAAACCTTTAAACCAGTTAAAACATGGACATCATCAATGTCAAACTTTTTCCTCCAATGTCCTATATCTTTTGTTGAGATGAAGACAAGTGTTCATGTTAATCAGACAATGGTTTATTGACCAATATTCTACATTCAAAACATTTGATACAACATTATTAAATACGTTTCATGTATGTTTCAGAGTCTAACCTTGCTTGAATTCACGCAGTCTGTGTTTCGGTATGTTTTTGTATCCCAGGGCCGCCAGCTGATGTTGAATTTCTTCTTCTGAGAAATCCAGGTGGTCCATGATGTGATCCGTTTCAAGTCAAGGAGGAAGCACCAAATCTAAAAAGGGTAAAAATAATATGCAAACAATGTAAATGAGATTTGAAGAATTGAAAGAAGAATGAACGTGCTTGGCCATTCTTCAAGAGCTCGATCAATCATGAGGTAAATGAATAGTAGTGTAACTAAATTGTATTTCTTGCTAATCCAAATGAATAGTAACTAATAATATAGTGTGTTTAACACTTTATTAGCTGCTATTTCAAGTTAATACAGTAGGTTGCAGGGATGTGAAGTAACTAAGGACATTTACTTAAGGTCCATTTTGAGATACTATTACTGTACTTGAGTATTTCCATGTTATGCTACTTTATACTTCGACTCCACTACATCTAAAAGGGGAAATAATGCAATGTTACTCCACTACATTTATTCAACAGCTTTAGCTTTAACCAAAATGCATCTCCTAAAAATAAACTAGTCAGAATTGTCAAAGCATTAATTCATGGTTTTTACTAACCGGTATCAGTATGTTGTTACTTCGGCATCATTTTGAAACGTGTATTACAATTAAATCACGGTAAAATTGTTTTGATTTTGTTGTAGTTGTAGCCCACTAGCCATTTCGTCTTGTTTGAATGATGCGAGTAAACACCGCTGACAGCCGCGGTGAAACTCGAGCGTCGATGCATCGCGTCCGATACTCTACACTTTATCAGTTGCTATTTCAAAACAATAACATAAGTTGTGACTGCGAATTTCCCAGTAGAAGAAAGCATTTTACGTAACCGTACATGTGTGTTTTATAGCTGTAATTGTGTTGTTAATAATGAAGACAACCCTTAAGTGACAGCGTTTCTAAAGAGGATTTGTTTGTATTTATTCCGGACCGGTAGCTAGCTAGGCTAGCAGTTAGCATTCATTAATACAGTGAATATAAACACATTTTAAGAAGTAAAACACGTTTGAAAGGTATGTTTCTCACCTGCACTGGAGTCGGTTCGCTGCTATAGTTCATCCATCACGATAACATCACTGGAAAGTGTATTAGTTGTTAGTTTCGTGCTATTGTTTACAGGTCGGACCGCAGCTCCAAGACAACAACGTCAGCCGTTAACTTTAAAAACGACGCCTCCTGCGCACCACTTCCGGTATTTCTCTTCTTCGGTGTACTTATTCATTCAAGTTCTCGCGCCACCTAACGGTGATAGAGTGTAGTGCAGCAGGAGCAGTTTTGCCCTTTAATCAGGTGAGGAAAGTATCAGTACCACAAATGTAAATATACTCAATTATCATTGAAAGTCTTTCATTGAAAATGTACCTTAAGTAAAAATATGAGTTGCTGATGATAGATCAGCTTGCCTACTCTTCTTTGGGTCTGATAAACAATATATAAAACAAACAAATAATAACACATTAACAAAATAAGGATAAAAGTCCATCCCAGTGTGTCAAAGAACGAGAAGATGTTTTAATCTCCTCTTCCTCCTCCTCCTCTTCCTCTTCCTCTTCCTCTTCCTTCTCCTCCTCCTCCTCCTCCTCCTCCTCCTCCTCCTCCTCCTCCTCCTCCTCAGCTTCTCATGAATAATCAGTATTCCTAGCTCTCCTCCCAGCAGACGGTGGGTGTTTTCAGTCTTTCAGGTGAACCGTGAGCCCTTTTCTAATCTGGGAAAAAGGGAATTTTCTCCTCTCCCTCCGGCCTGGGAAGACCATGACTCTCTCCAGGATCTACCGAGAGTCTCTGCTGGTGATTTTACTGCAAATCGTGCTGATCTGCTCGGCTCAGGTGAGAAACAGCTGCTCTTTATATTCCTGAAATACTCCTAAAGGTACTTATAGAAAGTCTGTGGTGCTCAGTGGAGCGAATTGTACTTTATTGTGTTTCAAAGATAATTGTATGAAGAAAAAAGGTGTATATTTGAACTGTTACTGATATTGTTTTGATCTCTTATTGAAGCATATTTTATATTCTTCTGGCACTTTCTGCTTATCTGTTTAATGTAGCACTATAATGACTAGACTTTATCGTAATAATGTGCATATGTTTAATTATTTTTGAACATATTTTTGGTATTTTTTATGATATTGATCCATGAAAACGTACTGTGTGTTTTTCTGAAGTGACACACTAATACTTGCATTTTTATCAAATATTTTTGAATCCCTTTCTCAGGGACTCAAGAGTTCTGTAAATACTTTATTGTTTTGGTATTGGATTTTATTTGACAGTGTGTAATTATATTGTGTGAGACATGGATACAACCCCCTCCCCTTTATCTTGTAACTCCCTTTTTAAAATATATATCCTGAATCCATACCAGGTCAATATCACTCTTTATTTGTCATGATATATTCCACTTTATTTGTTTGTAATGTTGAAAGTGAGTAAACTTAAGGTGTTTTTTTTTTCAAAATCTTGAAATATATGCCAACAAAACCAGCATTTTTTACAAAATACGTTCATTATTTTCTGATTGTTTTTCTAAAAATGGTCCATACTGTGGTCCATTCATCCCAGTGCACCGATCAGCAGTAATCCGAACACATGCAGATACTTACGTGTAATGTGAGAATAATGTGAGCGCAGGTTCAGTTTCGTGACCTTTCCCCTCACATCACCCGAACAATGAGGCTCTGTTCGGCCGCCCTTCAAACCAGCAGCAGAAACATGGATGATATTAAGAGATGGATTTCAGTCAGAAAAAAGTGAAAACTGATTTTCTTTTTTTTGTCTGTGTTTGTTTTCCAGAGGGGCCCGGTCGGTCCCCGAGGCTCCCTGGGGCCGCCCGGAGTAGCAGGCGTACCCGGAGTGGACGCCATTGATGTGAGTCAACGGGGAAACTTTCATGATGGAGCTGTTATTTCTGTCTTAATCAGATCAGAAAACAACAGGTTTTTGTATTGTTTTGCACAAAAAACTGAAAAAGCAGCAGCTTGTTTTAACAATGAGGCCTTTTTGGTCGTCACATGACTTCATCCTGTTTTACACTTTCAACCCCAATTCTAATCTCAGATTATTTGACTGAGCCAAATGTAGCTCAAACAGAGCAGCTGTTGTTACAGCAAAATGATTTTGTTATCCAATTTTAAAAAAGGACCATAGCCAGATGTCATGGGTTCAAGGTCCCCCATAATGCACCAAGACATTATTTGATGGTCTTAATGCTGATTCAAAGCCCTCTTCACCTAAAATCCTGAATCCTTTAAAAAATCAAGATATGTTGAGTCAGTTTATAAAATAACCTTATTATGTATGATTTTCTTTCAATTCTAGAATTGTACACATACCAGGTTCGAAGACCCCCCATACATTGTTCAATATATGCAAGGATTGTAAGATTTTAAAATGTAACATGTACTTCTTACTGGCATTGGATATTAGCTTTAGCATTATACATGTGTACAGTATATGGGACACTGCATCTGCAACAGACTGTCAATATGTCACTGTACTTGACCTTTATAAATAAACATATTAATCAAAAACATTTCCAGAGTAATATACAAAAAGGACATGACTCCAGTGTCCTCAGTGCACTGTCCTGTCCCACAACAATACAAACCTCTTAAATATTACAAAAAATCCACAATTTAAATAACTTCTTTATATTTAATGTATGTTCTTCCTGTGTCTTCAGGGCGACAGAGGAGAAGACAACACAGTGACCGGCGGACCAGTGAGTGGACTTTTGATTCCTCTTTCCTCTTTCCTCTTTCCTCTTTCCTCTTTCCGCTTTCCTCTTTCCTCTTTCCTCTTTCCTCGTTCCTCTTTCCTCATGCAGAGATGTGTGATGGATCAGAAACCATCAGAGTTAGAGAGGTGAACTTCTAACTTCTAATTTCTGCTTCTGCTTGCAGGGCCCGGACGGAGATAACGGAAAAGACGGAGCTGCAGGAGCTGCAGGACTCCCAGGCGCAGACGTGAGTCCGACATCACGTTAAACACAGAAGAGTTTCTTTGGGTTGTGGCTGGTTTAGTATTCAAGCCCCACACTCATTTCACAGCCACTCTGTCATCCACTAGTGGCTGTTTCCCAGTGATGAGAAAAACAATGCATGAGAGCAATGATGCAAAGTCCATTTACTCAAGTACTGTCCTTAAGTACTATTTTGTCATACTTGTACTTGAGTATATCTAATTTATGATGCATAAACTTCTAATTTCACTCCATTTTAGTGGCACATATTGTAGTTTTTACTCCTCTATTTACTTTGTACGTGTAAAAAACGCATACAAAATTATAACACGCCAATATGTTACAAAGTAAACCTTTAGTAAATTGGCCCCACATTGCAAAAATACAACATTGAAATGCCCCTACATGTATTTCTTAGTGATACAAGCAAGATGATATACTATTCTATTATATAATACTATGAAAAGAGCCATTTTGCCTTCTGGGTATTTTCAAATGAAATACTTTTGCTCACTTTGCACACATTAATTAACATTTTCAATGCTGGACTTTTACTTAAAATAGAGTACTTAAAGCCTGTAGTCTATCTACTTCTACCTAAATAGTAGTAGTAGTACTTCTTCCCCTCCTGCATGAGTTTCCCTCTGCGCTGCGGGTTAAACTCTCCAACAAGAGGATGTATTGAATCTCTGTAAGATCTGAGCCGGTCAGATCTGCTGCTGTGGGAGCAGTTTGTCTTGGCTTCAAACTGAGTGAAAAGAAAACACGTTGAATAAATCAATCTGGGCTATTTAAGGGTAGTCTCCAGTTGCTTCCTGACAGAAACAGGGGTCTTTTTGTGTGAGACGGAGGGGGATCGGCTGCCCAGAGAGAGAGGCCGTATGCTGGGTGTGTGGAGCAGAAAGGGCTCAGTGTGTCTGAGATGCTGCGGAGAACAGACTGCAGATTCAGAGCTTCATGAGGATTCAAACTGAGAAAAGGAACCAGCATGTGGACCAAGATGCACAATCACACTTTGAGGGAAGAGTGGGAGAGAGTTTCTACACCTCCAGAGGCATAAGAGAGACCAGTATGCAGGGGTTTTGGTATAAAATGAACTTGGCGTCTACTCTCATCTGAGGAGGGTCTACTTTGTTGCCATCATTGGCTGATGTCAAGTTGTAGGCGTCTTCTGTTTCCTTCCCCTGTCCATGTCTAGAGTGTTTAGAGAGTTATTATGCAGCAGTTAGGTGAAAGGCAGAGGTGGGAGAAGTACTCAGATCTTGTACTTGAGTAAAAGTAGAAGTACTCAGATCTTGTACTTGAGTAAAAGTAGAAGTACTCAGATCTTGTACTTGAGTAAAAGTAGAAGTACTCAGGTCTTGTTCTTGAGTAAAATTAGAAGTACTCAGATGTTGTACTTGAGTAAAAGTAGAAGTACTCAGATCTTGTACTTGAGTAAAATTAGAAGTACTCAGATCTTGTACTTGAGTCAAAGTAGAAGTACCAGAGTGTAGGAATACTCTGTTACAGTAAAAGTCCTGCATTCAAAATGTTACTCAAGTAAAAGTATAAAAGTATTATCATCAAAATATAGTTAAAGTAGCGACAGTAAAAGTAGTCATAGTGCAGATTGGTCCATTTCAGAATAATATATATATATATGTTTTATAATGATTGATCATGAAAGTGTTCTCAAAGCTGGTAAAGGTGCAGCTAGTTTGAATGACTTTGTATACTGCAGGGTAGCTTGTGAATTTACTCCAGGTGGAACTGAAGTCTGATTTAAGAGTACTTAGTTACTTCCCACCTCTGGTGAAGGGAGGAGCGAAAGAATAGTAGGAACACCACACCTCGCGGTCTCTGGAGAATCAGGGGAAGCAGAGGACGTTTTATACATTTCATAGAAGAGTTATTCTGATCATTCATGTCTTGGTTTATAAGATCTGTCAAAATCATAATGACATATTTCTCCTCTTGCTTGCAGTGATATTTATTAGCCTACATTGTTTAGCTGTGAGTTGCAGAGTTTTGGAGATATCAGCTAAGAGATGACTGCCTTCTCTTGAATGTATTGGTCTAAGAAAACACTCAAAGCAGCAGAACGTAGTTTAGAAACTGTGTGACTGTCTGATACTTTGTGGATTTGTAGGCTGCGTTTTTGGAATGGTCCCAGAAATCCCTTAACTTAGTGAAGGACCAAACTACAAAAATAAGAGCAAAATTGTGATAAATAAACGTTTTCCTATACGTT